CACATATAAAGTCTCTCTCTTTTCCCCTCAAGAATCAACTTTCTCTTCCTCATCCTGTACTTCTCATTCTCTCCTTCTCTCCTTCTTCTTATCAAATCGTTCGTTTTACTTCATTGACTGAAGTTCATTCTGTACTTAACAATGTCTCTCTCTAAGGTTGCATGGCTCATCTTAGGCACAGCTGGCCTGGCCGCAGCTCATGGACACATCGATCGTATCGATATTGATGGCAAGTCCTATGGTGGATTCCTGGTTGATCAATACCCTCGTGAACAAAACGTCCCTGATCTCATTGCCTGGTCAACTGCGGACACTCAGGATGCCTATATTCAAACCTTTGATTACAACCAGCCGAATATTATCTGCCACCAGGATGCCAAGCCTGGTGTCCTTGCTGGCGAGGTGGCTGCTGGTGGGAAGGTGACGATCCACTGGAGCAGATGGTTTGAAGATCACCGTGGTCCGGTAAGTTTCCAGAGCAGGAGCGGACGATGATGTGTCCAGAATCATGTTACAACGGAACTTGTTTGAATCCAATCAGAACGCTAATACAGAGTAGGTCATCAGCTATCTTGCGAACTGTAATGGGAGCTGCGCTTCTGTGAACAAGACCAGACTTGAGTTTTTCAAAATTGAAGAGGCCGGTCTTCTTGACAACAGCAAGTCCCCCGGAAAATGGGCCAGCGATAAGCTCATGGCTGCCAACAATACCTGGACAGTCAATATCCCTTCCGACATTGCAGCAGGCAATTATGTCCTTCGTCATGAGATCATTGCCTTGCACAATGCAATGAGCGACAATGGTGCGCAAGCTTACCCGCAATGTATCAACTTAAAGGTGACAGGCGGTGGCACTGCTACACCGAAAGGTATTCCTGCCACCCAGTTCTACACACCAACCGATCCCGGCATCCTAGTTGATATCTTCAACAACCTTGCCACTTATGTGATCCCAGGCCCAGCCCTCTACGAGGGTAGGGGCGCAACACCTACGACTACTCGTCCCCCCACCGGAGCGTCTTCTAGCGCCTTGTCTTACTCCCCAGCCTGGACGACCCCCGCTGCAGTGTTTCAGGGTTCCGGATATGTTCCCTACGAGAGTTCTTCTCGAATCACACCTACACCTGTAGCGAGTGACGTGGAACGGAACGGTCAAGCTTATTGGGGTTCCCAAGCCTGGAAGAGAAGGTCCTCTCGCTGGCCTTTCAGTGACAAGAAGCACGCTCGAGATATCTCTATCTGAGGACAATGTGTGTGTGAGGCGTTTGTCAGATAATGCGTTGAAAATATAGAATCTGGGTATCCTTTGGTGAAAGGTATCTTTCAGTTTCTAAAAAAAAAAAAAAAAAAAAAAAAAGAAAGAAAGACAAAAAGAAAATGGCAGCGAAATATGAATAAAATTTGGCTTCCACCAAGATTCCTCGGATATCTGATTCATGTAGGCCACGGTGGCGGTAGCGATCAAGTTAACTCAGCCATTAAAGGGTTCTGATAATCAATCACTATCAGAGAAAGATTTGTCGTTTCATCTGCATCCTCTGAGAGGTATATACGCAAAAACCTGCCCTGCACTGAAAGGAATGATAGTTACTGTCAAAATAAACCAAAGGATGATAATGCCTCGAGAACAGTGGAGCCAGGCATTAGAGTTGGCATAAATGTAACGATGACCAGCGCGGAAGAGAACGCCATATGGGTCCAGGATGGACGTCCGAGAAACCACCATGAGGCCCTTTACGTAGGAGACGTTAGGTATACCGGATATTGTAGTGATATGCTAAATTAACCCTGCTAAAACCTTGTTTCCTTCTAAGTTCATAGAGAAATTATTTGGCCTGAGCTAATAGGTCCTACTTCCTTCCAGGTACATATAGGTAACACGCGTCAGCTGTCTCAAAGCTTCCCCAGCCGCCTTGGTTAGTACAGAGAGTTTACCTATTCAACGACGGATGAAACGATGGCAGTACCTGCCAGTAATCGATAGCCTTCGGGGAACATGGGGTTCCAGGGTTTTGATCGGATTGCTAGTGCCATCAATAGGTTGGCTTGAATGGTTACCCTGGTGTATGAGAGGATGGAGACAGGCTTTACGGCCGGGTTACAGATCTAAAGGAACATCTGCGTTCCGCAGACAAACACTGCTGCAGAAATTATTGAATCTCAAAAAGTAAGACCAGGTATATGAATGCCTGTGCAATCTTCTAGCGGATCTGTGACGGGGCCGGGTACTGGAGTCGGGATACATTCTCAGGGTCACTCATATTCTGATAATATAGATTCATCTTGTGTGGTTTGTAAATTATCGAGCAGGCAAGTAGAAACTAATGTGTTTTGAATCGAAGTTTCATAAGACAAACGTGAGAATTTTCAACTCAGATCACAGCGCATATTACAATCAGATTGCTAGAGATTGAACTGACGCTGTTATGGGGACAAAACTGTCAAGCGTTGTGATGCGGCGTGCGAGCAGTCCTTCTTCCTCTGAACTACCCTGCTCCGAAGGTTTCCCACCCACCTAATAGAATGTGCTCTGGTATCCCGGAATACTACTGGGAATGTGATTTAAGAGCAGAGGTAGACGTCAATTCGAATGCAGTTGCGCTGCGTGTTCGCCCGCATCCACCAGATGTTGAGGAAACCGTTACCTAATTTACCTAAGGTTAGCAGAACTTTAAGATACGAGTTCAACTTTATCAGTGCTATTTAGCGTTTGCAAAATGATCTTCAGTTCTTGGCCCATTCTTACTTTTTTTTTTGGCGCACCACGGCACCTGTGAGGCTGTGACTAGTTACTATCAGACTATCTTTAAGATCTAGCTATTTTCAAATACTTGTAACTTAGCCAATTCTTCTAAATTATTAAATTTTTTTTAATAATATAGATTCCTCAACTTTTTAATATAGAATAATTTTATCAAAATTAGCTAATTTATAAATATTGAAAATAATAATTAATTTAAAAAGAGCTTTATAAGTTATAACTCAGTTAGTTTTTCTAAACTGTTACCATTTCTTTTAATATTATAGACCTTTTAGTTTATTTTTCTGTATATTTTTTTAATATTATAGTTTTTTTAGCTTATTCCCTTTTGTATCTTTAATATTAAAAGAATTTAATACAAACTGGTTGAGTTATTGTAAGGGCGCCTTCGGGGTACTGTGGTCAGGCTAACGCTACGCCGTCGGAGCTTAGTAGGCCAACGGACTTGAGGATACGTAGTACGGGGAAGATATATCGTGTTCAGAATACTAGGAGGATTTTATGTAAAATAGAACAGAACGAATCCCTTGAGGATCTGAATCCTCCGCGCGATTCAAATATATATAGTGCGTTGTGGACCGTCGGCGCCTCGCTTGGGGCGGGTGTTGTTGCCTGAGGCGGCGAGCTGTACAGTTATAAAAATCATTAAAAATAACTAAGTTTTAAAGATGTCTGATAGTCTGATAGCAACTAGTCACGGGTGCCGCGGTGCGCAAAAGAAAAGTAAAAATGTGCCAAGAACTGAAGATCATTTGGCAGACGCTAAATGTTTAAATTCTTCCGGACGCTTATGCGCCTGCCACCAAATCCTTCAAGGGGGTCGTCTTGACCCATGGCATGCCGCCGATCACGTCGTATTCGCTCTCAGCACTCCCACAGTCATATTTAATTCCCGCCTCAGTGAACCCACCCAGAACTCTATGTAACATACACACTCTCTAATCCGGTTGCCTACTTTTGCCCAGACAGCTAAAGATGTCCTTTCCTAAGTCTTTCTTTGCCTTCTTCGAATTTACCCAACTATACTGTGGTTGGTAGTGCTTGACATTCATGGCTTGCGCAGCTTGCCTAAACCTTGTTCAAGCCAAGTAGCCGATAGTGCTGTCGACCTATCAGTCATACAATCGCTGGAGTCCGGCTCTCCACGCATGAAATCTCCATTTCGCCCCTTCGTTGTATGAATATGTAAGAGCGTTTGCGAGCCCAACATACTGTGTGGCGGCCTGAAGGATCTTTAACCATCGAGGGCTGTAGTCAAGTGACTCGAAAAGACGATTGAGGAGGCCTGGTATCCAGAGAATCACGTATATGATGGGATATCCATTGAGCAGCATTATTCGACGTATCTCGGAGTAGCTATGAGGCATGGCTCTTGGAGCAGTGTAAGGATTGATTTCAGTCGCAGTTTCCGCCTGGGAGGAAAGAACGGCATGGCAATGGCCCTCCGACTGTCTATCGGAAATTGTCGACGGTGACGAGTCTAAGATAAGTACACATAATCAGTAATGCTCTCGGAAATGGCTAACTCAGATTAGATGTTCTGAATACTCAGAGCGCCGACTTAGCGTGTAAGCGGATAAACCAACCAATAGCTCGTGTGCCAGCATGTTCGGCTGCGACGGATTCGACTACCACAGTCGTCTGCAGCTCAATTGTCTTTACCCCTACCGGCCCCCTACTCACTTCTACCGTTCTTTGCCCCGAGTTGGTAGCTGTATGGCGGAAGAATGCTATTCCCTCGAAACGTCGCTTGATCATAACGAAGACATAGGCATAGACACCCACGGTGGTCAAGATGATGGCAATGCGCCAGCCATGGCCAAGTGCATATCGCAGACCGAGATGCTGCGGCTCGATCCAGCACCAATTTCCACTGACGGGCCCATACAATTTCAATCCAAATCCAATAGTACCTGGCAATGATATTAGTAAGGGTGTAAGTTCATGTCCACCCACGTACTTGTGCACACGGGTACAATCCAAACAAGTGAGCAGTACAACAGCTTCTTCACGCTCGCATCTGACGCAGAAACTATCGCCCGTTGATTGATAATCCAGAAGGCAACCAATGCAATAGCCAGCACAGAGAAATCGCTTGCCTAGATTCATAGCTGAGAAGGTCTTCAGTCCGACGAAGTAAAGGTCCTTTACCTGCACCGATAGCTGGCCGATCCAAGCATTTAAAATACATCCCGTGCCCGGCGTCATGTCGTGGCCCTTTTTGAGGACCGCCAGCCCTGAAATGGAGTTATTCAGTGCATTGATAAAGTCTGGTCAAGAATGCGAGTGGCCTGCTAGTTAGCTTTGTTGGCGCCGAAAATATAAGGAAATTCCCACCGGCGATGGTCAAGTTCAAAATAAGCCAATGACGAAAGTGCCGTTTCCTAGAGGAAGTGGCATAAGATAGAAGGACCAGCGAAGATGCGATCGTTGACATGACACTTCCAGTAAAGGTGGGGACGGCAACTGCATAGTCGACACCCGTCATGCTATAGGTTGAGAAGGCTGGAGCCAGAATGAAATAGAGAGGACAGGGAAATTTCAAAACCTCATTCTACACCCTTAATATAGCAATAGGATGCGAACCTCAACTGCCCCGTTGTCCTTGTTACAGTAATCTTGCGCATAATGTCTAATACTTCTTGCTGACTAGGCTTAACCTTCTTCCCCAATGTCCGAGTAACTTACAGGATCCTCAATGCGTCATTTTCTTTCTGTACTGATGCGTGGATTTATGGTTACGTAAATTAGAGTGTATAGGAGCGGCAGAAGAAAGAGGAAGGCAACACATACGCACTGAAAACAGAACTGGACGGCAGGCAAGCTGTGCAGGTTAGCTGACTCCTGAGAGGGGGGGGGGGGCAAAATACATAGGAGGAAGAAAATAGAAAATAAAAAATTACCGAAAAAAGGGGGGAAAGGGTGCCTCAGAAAATACACAGCGATTGCTGTGACCAGAGGAGGGTATACACGAGGCAGGGTTCTCTGAACAACTCACCCTGCGTGTACTAGCACTCAATGGAGTTTACCCACAGCCGATACTTCTAGGATATAGCCGGTTGTGTTGTCAGAAAGTAAATCTGATACTACTGCACTACCACTTTCATAGCCCCATAATTAAGGGCAAGGGCTAAACTCGTCCAATTCGCTTCCAGTCAGTGCCTTCCTCAGGGGTAGATCGTGTAAACCCAACGTCTGCCCCCACATTCTATTGAGAGCCTCGCGCCCTTAAAACTTTGAACCTCTTGTTTCCTGAGCCATTATTTCCGTGGATCGCCTAAGCTTGACACAACCATGTTATATAACTAAATGTCTAACCTGAAGCAGAAGTGGCAACCAATTTGGATACGGTCACAATGTTCCCTATCCCGTTCCCAAACCTAAATAGTTCGCTTACAAGCGCAAAGCATACCCCGAGAAGTAGCAAACTTAAGCCCACTTTCAATGGGCTTCCTCGACAGGATGCGAGCGCCGAGTTCATTTCTTTGAGTCATCGCGCAGCTTCCTCAACAATGCGTCTAGGGATTCTCATAAGTGCGAACGAAATTGAGCCTCCTCCCAACTTTTGTCCAATCGATAACTCCTCGTATATCTTCAACTTAATCACTATCCAGCAGTAGAATGGTCGTTGATCTCTTCCCTCTCGGGGCCTTGCAATACTAACAAAGATCATGCATTGGGAATTTCGTCTACATCGTCATGACTGGGTCAAAATTTCTAGGCTGATGTGGTTCCAAAAGGAAAAGCGGCATCGTGTAGAGCAAATCAAGGGGCCTGGCGCTTTTTACTGCACGGCAAGCACACGTGAGGTCACTGTGACATGATCTCGTTGGTCATCCAACCGTTTCGCAGTCTAGTACGATCGACATAGATGCCTACGCATGATCCCGTAGTCAAGTGTAGGAATACCTTAGTACATACGAGCGGGGACACTACCGGTCCGCCGGACTCGAACTAAAACCTCGATACTATGATGCCCCGGACCGAGTCACCGAACCGGCCCGTTTACTACAGTGGGTTGGAATAGGATCTGTATGGGTGACGCGTCAGCTGTCTTAACGCCTCCCAGCTGCTTTGATGAGTGCAGAACCTATCTATCCAACTACCGAATAGAATCTAGACTGTGCCTGCCAATGACGGCGTTCCCCGCAAATAAAGTTTCCAGAACTTTGATGAAATAGGATATAAGCCAGGGTCACAGATCTCCGGAACTCCACTGCACGAACAGAGTACACCAATCTCGAAACCCACTACGCACTTACGTTAGACATAGTTCTCCTTCACTTAACTTCTTCAGGCAAGACAAAACGCCACGGCCCCATCTGCATCTTTACTAAGAACACTTTTACATAATCGAAAGTTTGTCCGGGGTGGAGTGCATAAGCTCATTAAAAGCTACCAGAAAATGACCAGTCAGTTGCTCTGAGACAGTGTCAACCGTTTTTGCGCATTCTCTGAACACTTCAGTCATAGCGTTAGGATGTCAAGACTGCCATTTTCAGCGGCCAAGACAATCAGCCATTTTAATACTAGAACATAAACGGCGGATTATCCTGGAAGACAACTACTTTATATGACATAATCGGATTTAAGGACACTTTCCTTAGGATGGTGCGTCTTGGCTGACATAGTATTACTTATACTATCGTAGCACAAGAAGTGCCCAAAATATCTAATTTATTTGTGATTTCACGTTTAATATGCTAGGCATATCGATCAATACTTTCAACCCGATAATAGAACGAATATAGCTCTTTCATAATCAGATGTTTACTCCATTACACGTGCACTCTATAGCAGATTGTGCGCTATCTATATATCTGATCGAGCTCTTTCATTCTGTATGGTCCTTCTAAGGGGATTAATCGTGGATTCGGAACGGCCAAGGCGAAAACGCGAGAACTATAATAAATTAAGTCCGCAACTATTAAACCACCACGAACCTGGCTTGGGGGGGGGGGATGGTCTTTTACTAGAAACGGCCTAAGGTTGCCAAAATAAATTGTCAAGCCCCCGCCGCCAGGGCGTTTGAAACCGCAGCCTTAAATATACATCTAGATTACTTAGCGAGAGATATTCTTACTTTGTAGGACCTTGTGCCGTCTCCACTATACGAACCATGTTTCTAGGTCCATCATTTTTTGTCTTCTGTTGAGCCGATGGTTGGCCCAGTGCTGCTGTGTACCTATGGGTTAAGTACCGGGTCTTGAAGGGACTAGATTGTCTGTAAGATAACGTGAACAGGATGCCAATAAAACCCAACGGATTATGAATGGTGGTGTCTTAGATATCCACAATGGATCTACTGAGGCGCTAAAGATCATTGCCATCCATGAGTTACCTAGCAGGAGCGCAGGCGAAGGAGGAACCCAAGGAAGGCTGCAATTTTTCCATCCAACCATCCGCACACGTGTACGCGTCATGGTTTCTGTACGTAAGAAGGGAAGAAAGATGGCATTGGACCTTGGCCATGCGGTGTATGACGGTTAATAATATTATTTGAACGCGGGAGTGGGAAATATCTAACTCAATAGACAATGAGGGATATCTCGCCGAGTGCAAAAAGGATCATCGTAGCCAGGGTATATAAGGCCGTCACTACTTCCAGTCTACGTCTGCAACTTATTCTCCAGGCGCTTACACTTCCGACTCCAAGCAAAACACATTCCAAGTCTTTCTTTTCCCAATCTTTCCAGTGCAAATTCATTTCCAATCTATACCAAAATGGCTCCTCGCGCTCTACTTTCTTTATTCCTCCTCGCTGTGGCCGCTCGCAGTCAGGAAGTACAGACTGCCGCCGAGGTTAACCAAATCTTGGCCCAGGTCGAGTCCGGCTTCTCAATTGATTCTTCGAATCCGCCATACTATGATACAGAGTGGTACTGGGAAGGAACTTGCATCCAGTACTTCGGACAGTGCACTAGTACTGCAAAATTCGATCGCAGTTGGATCGAAACCGGAAATGCAACTGCCTTCTATGTATCAAACACGGATGCTAGCGCGATTAACCTGACCAACGATCCTTCGACCATGACGGTGACAAACTCAACCTCAACGATGGACTCTACGACTTCAGGCTGGACCATCGGCGCGAAGCTGTCTGGCTCGGTTTCCGGTGATAGCGTGACTGGGGGCGCTGAGGTCTCAGCAAGTTACTCACAGTCCTCCACTACTAGTACGACTGTGACCACGACCGTTTCCTATACTGCGACTTGCCCGGCTCAGCACCATTGCAGCGTTGAGACCTGGACGTTTCATCTCAATATTACTGGATCCTGCTTGTCCCACGGCATGATCAACTGCCGCTCCCTAGGGACGTTTGATCAATGTACCAACCCTCAGACCGCATGCCAGCAGTACCAGGATATGTACACTTATCACTGTAACCAACCTCTGAAACCATGCAATGTGCAGACCCCCGTCTACAACAGTGATGGGACGACCCCATACAGTCAGATTGTTCTCATTGCCACCCCCATCAATGGGACTTCGCCGATTGAGAGATCCGGACGTGACCAGCAGATGGTAAAGTACAAGGTTATCGGCTAGAGACGTGTATCTAGTAGAAGAGAAGTTCGGAGCATATATTTCGTTGATGGCCGTGGTTGGAGGTGAGAATTTGCAGTTTCCATGCATTTTCAAGTTGTGTATGTTCTTCTGGAGAACGGTGCCACGATGTACGCTCTTTGTATTTGTTTCCCAAAACTCTAATACCAAGAGCCACTATTATTGACATTCCGTCTATTACAATACAATGGAAGATCGACTCCCAGACTGGTATCAAGCTCCTCTCTTATCACAAGCTGGCGGGGGAAACTGGAAGAATCACAGGCCTGTAAGGCGGGACTCTAAATTGCCCCCACGTAATGGAACAGACGTATCTACTATGAGTACATGGGTCAGAGTGGGTGCAACTGTGTGGCTTTGTATCTCCGTGGTTCACGGTTATGACCAGCAGGTAACTTTTACCCTATCCTTTCTCTCATCCAATCCACGTCGATCTCACACTACTCTTTGGAGTAGCCTTTGTGGGCCTTACGGCACAAAAGTGACGCGCTTGGGAAGTTAATTATTAAACCATCTCATCATTGTTGCTTCCCCCCCCTTTTTTTTTTCTAGCGAGTCTGTCTACGTCTCTGCCATGCTAAGGAGCTAGTCAGCACTGGACGAAGCCCTGTTGCAACAGCACATCAGGATGCCCCGGCCTCAGGTCAAGTTGCAAGACCGCAAACGCGCAATAAAAGCGTGCGTTCCCTGCAGGGCCTCAAAAATCCGGTGTAATTCGCAGAAGCCTTGTCAAGGATGTAAAAGGCGCAACATGAGCGATTCCTGCGTCTACCTGGATTCATCGACTTACGACAGATTTCAGTGTCACCGACCCTCCTTGTTGCAGAGCCTTCCTAACGACGGCACCTTTAACAATACTGCTGATGGCCAGGATGAAAATGGAAAGCATCAAGCCTGTATCCCAGACCCCACAAGTAGGACGATAATTCCTACAGATCGTAGTCGAATGTTGCTGAGTTCCAAGGGGGAGAAAGGTATTTGTGTAGGCTTTCAATAAATCATCATTCTTACTGAACGCTGCATAGTGTGCACGGGAGG